ATTTTTTGCTTTATTTATTTATTTGTTATACTTATTTATTATAATAAACAATATTGTTTTAGTTTTGGACTTTTTCACATTATGACAAAAAACATACAAATACACATAAGTACACACATGTATACACAAGTAGTTGATAAAGTATGATAGAAAAAAGATAGGTCTGGCTAGCCTAATAAAATGGCTGAACCCAGGGAACTTGTGATGAGCATTTCTTTCATTGTTTTTAGCCTTTTTGGGGGGGGCTTCTCGTCTACTTGTTTGACACAAATATGGGCACCTTTTTGACATGGACATTGTCAAATATTTTACATATTCATAACCATGATAAAAAAATGCTGGACGAAAGTAAAAGTAAAGAAAAACATTTGATCGATGTTGGGGAAATATTTTCCAAGGTCCATATCTTTGACCCAGTTTATCAGTTCAAACTGTCCTGACTGAGCACACGCACCTGTAACCTTGGCTGCTGTGCTCTCAGTGTTCTGTCTCCCTGTTCCTGCCTGTTGGATCAGCTGATAGAGGTGTTATGATTCTATCTTGTTATGCAGCATGTTGATTATTCTCTCTGAACTAGCTAAATACATGGGTCTAGGGTAGAGTTCTTCAGATTTGACGTGGCAACTCTACCCTGAGGTCAGAACCTCTGGCTCTTGGACTTGTGATGTGAATTCTCCGGCCAAAGCTCCTAACTAAACCATCAGTGTTTGACATCAAAGTTTCCTGCTCTTCCCGTGTCTCCTTCATGAGTCGGTGAATCCCACTGCATTGCTACACAGAAGTTTCCCCCACAATCGGTACTAGATAAAGAACGTATGCAGTATATTTAATCCCAACGGTATTTATCAAAATTAAGATAACGGATGAGTATAGAAATGATTGTCCTTTACTCACTGAAACTCTACAACTGGCGAGTTTTTCTCTTACATCCTAAGATTTGGCTGACAAGAATCAACAAAGAAAAATAACAACATATCATTAATGAAAGTAATCTTTACATACAGTCCTGATATAAAACTATGAGAGTGTTATAATTTAATATCTGTATATGTGAGTGAATGTTTGTTGGTGTGAATGAAAATGCCTCAGCAAGGGTCTCATCAGACAGGAAGTGATCTCAATCCCTCCTGTGTTTCTTCTTCTTGTTCTTCTTGTTCGTCTTCTTCCACTTTCCGTTTTCTTCTTCTTTTTTCTTCTTCCTAAATCTCCGTTCCTCCTTAGAGCTCTAATGACACGGTGCAGCTTTGAAGCCTCTTTTCTGGCTCTATTTATAAAACTGGTAGCTGCAGTGGCACTGACTCACTGTCAGCAAGCAGCAGGGAAACTGACTTCACACACACACACACACACACACACACACACACACACACACACACACACACACACACACACACACACACACACACACACACACACACACACACACACACACACAGAATTATGGGAAGGTTTGAACCTCTTCAGCGTTGCCGTGGTTTCAGGAAGCAAGGTTCTGCCAGTGGTACAGCCAGGGGCCAGCAGCGGGAGGAGGAGGTTTCTGGCAGCTCTAGTCCAGATGGAAATCCCTGCCGTTGTGCCGGGCTCACACATCGTGCAGGGAAACATTCCCACCCTGTGGGACGGAGCTCAGGCCGCTCCACAGTTTAGTTTTAGTCTGCTGCCTCGGGGAGGAAAAGACAGATCTGCTTGTTGGCAGAAGTTATTCAGTTTGAGGTGTTCACAGTTTTAGGGGTTAAGTTGGTGCTTTGTTAAGTTTCTAAGGAGCTAGAGTGACCATTAAGTGGATGGACTGAAATAAAAAGAGATCGCTGATGGATTCGGGGACTTTTGATGTCACAAAATGGACCAATATATTTTGTTGGGCTGTGTATGTAGATATCCTAAATGTTTTCAACAATTTTCAAACAAAGAGCAATATTTTAATCAGGTTTATGGTCTGCTTGCTTTTGAGTACGTGTTACATTGTGCTTGTCTGCCAAAAGCTGTCAAAAATAAACTTTTTATCCATAAAAGGAAAAAGGTCCAAGGAGGTCTGATAAAAGGCTTTTAAACTTGTTGCCAGAAGAACACAGTGGACCTCTCTTCTTTACTTTCAATCCTAATATTTTGTGTTCCTCACGGCAGAGAATCTTCTTTGTAATTGTTTGACCTTCGAGGCTGAACCTTTTCCTTTCTTGACTTTCAAGACAGATTTTTACCCTATATGGGTGCTTGGATCTTGTCAGAGAAACAAAAAAGCCAATGTTATTTGGTAACATCCTGTGTGCAAAGAGCATTAGTAAAATACTGGTTTTTGACACAGAAACTGCTTTATTCTGTGCTTTCATCCGTTTAATCACAGACCACATGGTTTTTGTGTCAAACAATCAAACAAGGGGGAGGGGAGTGTGTGGGAGAGAAACCCCCTCTGGAAGGAACTTTGGATATTTAGCCTTTCCAGACCATTTACATGCACTCAAACCTATTTAACACACTACAGGGAAGGGGACACCCCAAAAGGCTTTATAGTGCCTCTTTATTTGAAATGAAAGCATTCTGCACAGACTGTGTGTGCTCATGTTACCAGCTCTCTGCTGTTGCTCCCTGTGGAGCCAGTAACGGGCAATTCATTCTCTCAGGACACGTATTGATTTACGATGCTGTGACGGACAGATCAGATTGTCAGGTCCCCAGAGTCCCCACACACACACACACACACACACACACACACACACACACACACACACACACACACACACACACACACACACACACACACACACACACACACACACACTCCTGTCTAGCATGTGAGAAGTCGTTGTCTTCACAAATCAGAGTTGAATTAACCTTAATGTCAATGAGTGTAACGGTGGATGAGCAACAGATAAAGAGAAGCGAACAAAGAGAAAGAAGAGAATACAAATGTGAAAGTGAGACGATGAAAAGAGAATACAACTCCCCTGTCTTCAAGGCTTATTGACTTTCTTTAAAAATAGAAACACTAGTAGAGCTTTGAAATCTCATCTCTTTCCACCCCCCTTTCTTTATGTCTGAGGCAAGTTCGATAGTCCCTCCCTAAGCATAGATCTGTCTGTCTTCCATCACCGCTGGCATCTTAAATGTCATCCATAAATCGGCTCCATTAGGCGTTATGTGTCCTCAGTGATTTATTTTAATTGATGTGCTGAACTATAATTTAATTAAAGATCTTGTATTGCAAGCTGTTCTCTTTATGATCACACAAAGAATTTTAATTACTAAGGAGAATTAGTTTCGAGCACCTAAAAGGGAGTCAACTTGACCGTCAATTACAACAAAACCATGTGTTAGAAAATAATAAAGCTTATAAATTGCGTAGACGTACCGTAGTTACTTATAAGCCACATCAGCATACATCAAAACGTATACAACTTTATAAAAGTAGTATTATAAAATGAAACAATGTTTATTTATTTTAATTGAAATTATTGAAGTTTATAAATTATGTGAAAACATGCAAAAATGTAAATGTCTTGCAAAAAGTCTACAGCCATGTCTGCAGCTCTGTGAGACTCTACTCAGTAAAGTGCTGACGTGATTTTTATCTTTTTTTGTAATGATGGGTAAGTCAAGAATTATGTATATATTTCATCATGATTATGTTTACATTCGGCGTTTTGGCATCAGAGGAAATGTGAAAAGATTTTTTTTTTAAACTTCCACTTAAGTATTTTGTATGGGTCACGACATAGTGAAGCACCCACTGTATATGGGCTCAGAACAGTCTCATGATACACACATGCACACAGAAGGATTCACACTTGTATTTCATGATCCGCAAAAGGATCCACACTTGTATTTTTCACAATGCACACATAATGTGTTCCGTTTCATATACATGTAAATAAAATCCAAACACAGAAAAAAGTTTTACATGTGTATTTTTGATCCACACATTTGTTTTCCGTTTAAAACCTCTGAACCTGCAACACACCCAACCGCTTTCTGTGCACGGATCGCTGTGCATTCGTTGTGTGGGTTTTTTGGAGAACTACGACCCTGACGCTCACCGTTTGCTGATTCTCGTACTTGTAATTTCTCTCATCTATAGCCAATCAGATGTCTCCTCCAGTCTAAGCCAATCACATGAGCGCGCGCCCC